CCACGACCCTAACCCGCTCCGATCTTTGACCTCACGAACCACGACCCTAACCCGCTCTGACCTTTGACTTCAGGAACCACGACCCTAACCCACTCTGATCTTTGACTTCACGAAGCACGACCCTAACCCACTCTGAACTTTGACCTCACATACCACAACCCTAACCCGCTCCAATCTTTGACCTCACGAACCACGACCCTAACCCACTCTGAACTTTGACCTCACGAACGACGACCCTAACCCACTCCGATCTTTGACTTCACGAACCACGACCCTAAACCACTCTGATCTTTGACTTCATGAACCACGACCCTAAACCACTCTTATTTTTAACTTCACGAACCACGACCCTAACCCGCTCCGATCTTTGACCTCACGAACTACGACTCTAACCCGCTCTGACCTTTGACTTCACGAACAACGACTCTAAACCACTCTGACCTTTGACTTCACGAACCACGACCCTAACCTGCTCTGACCTTTGACTTCACGAACCTCGACCCTAACCCACTCTGATCTTTGACTTCATGAACAATGACCCTAACCCACTCTGACCTTTGACTTCACGAACAACGACCCTAACCCATTCTGAACTTTGACCTCATGAACCACGACCCTAGCCCGCTCTGACCTTTGACTTCACGAACCTCGACCCTAACCCACTCTGATCTTTGACTTCATGAACCACGACCCTAACCCGTTCTGAACTTTGACCTCGCGAACCACGACCCCCCGAGTGCACTCTGATCTAAACTAAAACTAAATATTTTCATTTCACCAGGTAAGGCCCACTGAGCTGGTACGTAGCTCTTTTTCATAAAGGACCTGGCCACAATTGCTCCCTCGACGAAGTGGCTTCTCGTTGTGTGGAAATCTAACGCAGACAAATACTCTAAATACACGTTTCTAAACGTGAAGGGGTAAAATCGGAGGACCCAGAGAAACATTCACACGACCACAGTGTGAGAAAACAGGAAAACTCCAAATACACAGATAAAACCCACGACTCTCTTGTATACCAGGTGAGGTAGTTAACATCTCGACACCATGCAAACTACAAATATACAGCAGGCGTCAGGGTCGGGATAAAACCCACAACCCTCCTGTACACCGGGCGAGGTAGTTAACATCTCCTAGCCACCGTGATGATGATGATGAGAGAGACACGCAAACTCCAAATATACAATAGGCGTCAGGGTCGAGATAAAACACACGACCTCCTGTATACCAGGCGAGGTAATTACCATTTCGCCACCATGTAAACTCCTAATATACAGCAGGCGTCAGGTTCGGGATCGAACCCACGACCTCCTGTCTACCAGGCTAGGTAGTTAACATCTCACCACCATGCAAGCTACAAATATACAGCAGGCGTCAGGTTCGGGATCGAACCCACGACCTCCTGTACACCAGGCGAGGTAGTTAACATCTTCTAGCCACCGTGATGATGATGATGAGAGAGACACGCAAACTCCAAATATACAACAGGCGTCAGGGTCGAGATAAACCCCACGACCCTCCTGTATACCAGGCGAGGTAGTTAACATCTCCTAGCCACCGTGATGATAATGATGAGAGAAAAACGCAAACTCCAAATAAGCAGCAGGCGTTAGGGTCGGGATCAAACCCACGACCTACTGTATACCAGGCGAGGTAGTTAACATCTCGACACCGCGACGCACCCCAATCTTTGACTTTACGAAACAAGGGCCCAGAATCCCGTCCTTCGTTGTCCGCTGCCCGTAGTTTATCCCCGACCAGGTCAGGCCTTGTCTGGAAGGGCGAGACGACGAGTCCGTTTGGGGAACTCTCGCGGCGTTCGTTCGATCAATTTCCCAGTCGTTCACGTCTCCGCATCGTCGCTTTGTCAAATCTTGGACCACATTTTTGTTCCGCTTAAAATGCTCATGACAATATTGTGTAGCCGGGGTTAAGCCAATCGACGTACTGCACACATTCAATTTAAATGTATTACAAATCTCGGCTAAATGTAACCATTTCGATTTAAAGCTTCTTTCGTGACTGCAGGGATTCATCTTCTTGGTTCTTTCGGTAAAGTCACGTAGAATGGAAATAATAAAATAATAAAAATAAAACATAATAAAATAATTCTTATTATTATATTATTTCCATTCTACGTGACTTTACCGAAAGAACCAAGAAGATGAATGTAACCAATTTGTATTTTTTTTACCAGATCCTTCCTCCCTAAACCATAGGGAACAGCCCACGGAAGCAAATACCGTAGAACTACTGCTGAGATCCCTACTTCTCCATGTGACCACACACACACAGTAGAGGGCAGCACTTCCCACTCACTCTGCCATATGAGAATAATGTTTGTCGCAAGACTATTAAACCGATATTTCAAATCTCGGATTTTGTTCGTCACCTCTGTACACTTGAGAACCCGCTTCAATCCCAAGTCAGTATATGTGAGTCTATGCGTTTCTCTGTGAGTATATGGGTCTTATCTTCTTGGTTCTTTCGGTAAAGTCACGTAGAAGGGAAGTAATAAAATAATAAAAATAAAACATAATAAAATAAAATAATATATTATTATATAATATATTATTATAATTATATATTATTATAATTAATTATATAAATAATACCTGATTATTTAATTGCTTATGTATGTTGCTCTATTGTTTATGTATTTTTTATTATTTTATTATTATTTTAATTTATTATGTTTTATTTTTATTATTTTATTACTTCCCTTCTACGTGACTTTACCGAAAGAACCAAGAAGATGAATCCCTGCAGTCACGAAAGCTTTAAATCGAAATATATGGGTCTCTGTATGAATATATGGTCATCTACATGAGTCACTGGTAACTGGGTTGAAACCATAAACTCACTACAATTGAGAACCCGGTTTAATCACGACTGAATCTATCAGAGTCTATGGATGTCTCACAAGAGTGCATGGGTCCCTGTGAGTATATGGTTCTTCATGTGAGTTTATTGGTCTGTGTGTATGTGTGTATATGGTCTCTGTTTGTGGGGAGCGGTGGTGTAGCGGTTAGCGCGCTGCACTACGAACTTGGCGACCCGGGTTCGATTCCCGCTCACGGCAAACACCAGTGACGATTATCTGAACCGATTCTGGGCCTCCCCTAGGTCGACTCAGCCTCAAATGAGTACCTGGTGCGGTGTGTAAACATCGCCGCTAGGGAGACAAAGGCGGTCGGGCGTGGTGCTGGCCACCCCACCCCCTCGTGTACCGTTCCGGCCTTCATAGGTGCTCGTTAACAGCACTTGCCCCTACGGTCTGTTAAGGCTATACGGGGGATCTTTATCTTTATATGGTCTCTGTGTGAGTATCTTGGTCTCTAAGTAATAATATTAGCCTCTATGTGAGTATATTGGTTTTTGTGTGTCTATGTGATTCTATTGGCTTCTATGTGAGTCTATTGGTCTCTGTGTGGGTCTATTGGTCTCTGCTTGTATTTGTGTGTGTCTATGGGTCTCTATGTCAGTCTAGTCTATTGGTCTCTACGTAAGTCTATGGGTCTCTGCGTGAGTCTATTGGCCTCTATGTGAATCTATTGGCCTCAATGTGAATCTATTGGTCGCTGTGTGTGTATATGGGTCTCTATGTGACTCTATTTGTCTCTCTATGAGTCTATGGGTGTCTGCGTGAATCTACCTTTATGTGAGTCAATTGACCTCTTTGTGAGTCTATTGGCCTCTATGTGAGTCTATTGGACTTCATGTGAGTCACTGATGACCAGGCTGGGACCATCAATTCACCGAACGTGAGAACCCAGTTTGAATCGCTGTGCTTGGGCAGCTCCAACTTAATGGACATCTGTGAAAAAATAGCTAAGTATAGCTCATAGGATTCCTCCATTACAACTAAATATTCAGATTCTGAACCTGAACTTGGATTCGAACCCCTAAACGCCATTCTCTCAGGGGTGCTGTTGCGGGTGCTCTTGCCCTGTGAGCCGTCCGGGCCTCCTCTAGCAGTCGGGCCCAGCTAATGTGATGTATAACTGCAACGGCGGAGAGAGTGCAAACGGTGTCCGTTGATTAGACGTGTAACCACGTATTGATTTACCGATTAAAATTGATTCCTGCGTTCATGATGCGAGCGTAGGAATTGTGCCACGTTACAAGAACCACGCGCGCACACACAGAGTGCGCGCGCGCGTGTGTTTTATTATCCATAGTAATTCAATACGTGCGGCGCCGTTTGTCGATCCGCTGCTGGATGAAAGCCACAGAAAGGGCATCCACTTCCGGTCATGCGGGCGGGAGGGACGGGGGGGGGGTGTTTGGCCATACATCGCCGCACTGGGCAGTGCAGGTTGGTGAATGGGGTGGGTCAGTGGGTGGGTCGGTGGGTGGATGGGTGGATGGGTGGGTGGTTGGATCGGCTGGTGGATCGGTGCATAGGTGGATGGGTGGGTGGTTGGGTCGGTGGGTGGGTGGATTGGTGGGTGGATCGGTGGATGGGTGGGTGAGTCGGTGAGTCGGTGGGTGGGTGGGTCGCTGGGTGGGTGGATCGGTGGATTGGTGGGTGGATGGGTGGAACGGTGGGTGGGTGGATCAGTGAGTGAGTGGGTCGGTGGGTGGTGCAGATCTCACTCGCCACTCGATGATAGACGCCGTGACCAGGAATCGAACTCAAGGTGCATTGCTGGGCTCAAAGCACACAGACAGCCACGCGATATCCCAAGATATGGCGGAGGGTTTTTCAAAGTGGTCACCTCTAACCTCCACGCCTCGTATGCTTTGCTCACAGGCCACGTGCCGAGTCACCATGTGCCGTACAGGAGACAGCTGCCGCTGGGGGTGCCCCAGGCTAGACCACACAGCAGCGATTATCGCCCCCTTACTGGCAGACTAACGACGCCACTATTGTTTCATTACATTTTGGCGTGGATAGTCAGAACGCTCACCCCGCGCGCTCACCTCCTAATCCCCCCCCCCTCACCCACCACTCCATATCTACCCCCTCCCCCCACCCCTCTCTCTCTCTCTGGGTTATTGACCGCCCTAACGAGCTCGTGACGTCGCTGCCGTTGCAGATCATTGCCTTCGACGAGCTCAAGAAAGATCTGCGCGCGTCCACGGATCCGGAGAGCAACCCCAATCAGGTGAGAGGGCCAAAGTTCGTGGCGCCTTCCACAAGCGCCCGCGGGCGTCATTGCTTCCGAGTGGGCCGCCTTCTCGCGTCGGTGGCGACCACAGCGTTCGTGCGGTGATCCACCAACACCTCGCTACTGCCTCCTGATCGCTTCAGGCCACATGCGGCTGCATAGCCACCGCTGGCGGTCTGAGCCCGGTCACCGTACGGCACGCAACGACAAAAAAAACCATGCGCCCATCATACTATCTTCTTGGTTCTTTCGGTAAAGTCACGTAGAAGGGAAGTAATACAATAATAAAAATAAAACATAATAAAAATAATTATTTTATTATGTTTTATTTTATTTTTATTATTTTATTACTTCCCTTCTACGTGACTTTACCGAAAGAACCAAGAAGATGAATCCCTGCAGTCACGAAAGCTTTAAATCGAAACCCATCATACTAAATTTGGCGATAATTCCAGCTGTGACAATTCGAACTACGGAACGTTGCACGTTGCGAGACGGTTGATAAGAGGGCACAATGGTGGCAGCTTAGGGGATAGTGCCTCATCCAGCAGTGGAGAGACCACGGCCGATGATGACGATTAGGACTGTTGCTAAAATTGGGAGACAAATTGTGTCCTTCATTTCCACCCCGTTCCATGCGCTGTGCCTCTTCTCTCTGTAATCTCGCGGGGGTGGTGAGTGGGGTGGGGGTGGAGGGTGGGGGGTGAACGAGCCATCGTCGACGCTGTCTCCGTTACCCTTTAGCTTCGTCCCCGTAGATTTAAGTCCACGCCGGGAGATTATCGGCAGCAGCGGCGGCGCTGGTGCAGATCGCGCGCACTCATTCCGGCGGAGAGATAAGTTTCAAATTTTTCCGCCACGCCAAGTTGCCCCCGGTACCAAGGGCAATGAAGGGGGAGGTGGTGGTGGTGGGGGGGTTGTAAAATTCAACACGGCTCGCTGCGCTGAAGGCAAAGACGGCGTCCCAGCAATTGCCAGCTCACCACCGATTCGCGTAACCGCTGGTTGGGGGAATAAAGTGCTTTCTGGGCTCCCGGTTCACCGTTTTTCCCTGCAGGGTTCGTGTATGGGAACAAAACCGCTCTACCTCACTCGCCTGCTCACCCGTGTCCGGCAATGAATGCAGACGAGGGAATGTGTGGGACGCCGCTGCCTTCATTATCCGCGTGCATCACCGCCCCCCTACCCCCACCACTCCCCCCCCCCCGCCCCCCCGGTGCCAACCTAGCCAACGAGTTCCTTTTCGCTGCCAGCCGGAAGCCACTCTCTCTCTCCTCTCTCCTATCGCTCTCCCTCCTCGTCTCGCTGTCTCCTCTCTCTTCTCTCCCCAAGTGCCACGCTCTCGCCAAATCCACGCGCGCACGGTGGGATTAATCCTCTTATTCAGACCTACTCTTAGTTTTTTCGGTAAAGTCACGTAGGTAAAAAAAAGAAATTAAAATTAATAAAAAATAAAATAATAATAAATAATAAAGGTTTTTTTTTTTTACGTGACTTTACCGAAAAAACTAAGAGTATGAATCCTTGCAGTCACGAAAACTTCAAATCTAGAATTATTCAGACCTCTTCGCCGGACCTCTTAGCCATTCGCGGCCGTCTGGAATCATCTCGCATGCCTGGCCCACAGACACTGCGTGCCGTTTTGGATGATGGGAAGGGAGGGGGGTGGCTCAGAGACCACCCGCACGTAAATAATAGATGTGTCGTTCAACCCACCACCACCCGACACAACCAATTAGATAAGGTTTGTCACGTAAGCAACAATTCGTTACTAGTTCAACAAACGCTGGTTGTGTGTTGGAGAGTAAATCCCACCCACAATATTTACAATTCTAGTACAGACACTCCTCTGCTTACGAACGAGTTAGGTTCCAGAGGCATGTTCCGAAGTCAATTTGTTCGTAAGTCCAACTTTACTCCTGTCGATTGCAAACATGCTGTATGGTATGTACACTAAACACGGGGAATGGCTTTAAATGTTCTATAATCTCCTGTAGATGTTGATGCCACTGGTTATTCACGTTCTGTAGATGTAGATGCCACTGGTTCTTCATGTTCTGCAGATGTAGATGCCACTGGTTCTTCATCTTCTGCAAATGTAGATGCCACTGGTTCTTCATGTTCTGCAGATATAGATAGCACTGCCTCTTCACATTTTCAGATAGAGATGCCACTGATTTTTCACGTTCTGCAGATGTAGATGCCACTGGTTCTTCACGTTCTGCAGATGTAGATACCACTGATTCTTCACATTTTGCAGATGTAGATGCCACTGGTTCTTCACGTTCTGTAGATGTAGATGTCACTGATTCTTCACATTTTGCAGATGTAGATGCCACTGGTTCTTCATGTTCTACAGATGTAGATGCCAATGCTTCTTCACGTTTTGTAGATGTAGATGCTACTGGTTCTTCAGGTTCTGCAGATGTAGATGCCAATGCTTCTTCACGTTCTGTAGATGTAGATGCTACTGGTTCTTCATGTTCTACAGATGTAGATGCCAATGCTTCTTCACGTTTTGTAGATGTAGATGCTACTGGTTCTTCAGGTTCTGCAGATGTAGATGCCAATGCTTCTTCACGTTCTGTAGATGTAGATGCTACTGGTTCTTCATGTTCTACAGATGTAGATGCCAATGCTTCTTCACGTTCTGTAGATGTAGATGCTACTGGTTCTTCACGTTCTGCAGATGTAGATGCCAATGCTTCTTCACGTTCTGTAGATGTAGATGCTACTGGTTCTTCACGTTCTGCAGATGTAGATGCCAATGCCTCTTCACGTTCTGTAGATGTAGATGCCACTGGTTCTTCACGTTCTTTAGATGTAGATGCTACTGGTTCTTCACGTTCTGCAGATGTAGATGCCAATGCTTCTTCACGTTCTGTAGATGTAGATGCTACTGGTTCTTCACGTTCTGCAGATGTAGATGCCACTGGTTCTTCACGTTCTGCAGATGTAGATGCCACTGGTTCTTCACGTTCTGCAGATGTAGATGCCACTGGTTCTTCACGTTCTGCAGATGTAGATGCCACCACTGCCATCTATTGCACGGCGGTTGGACTTACGACTCTCAATCCGAACGGGCAACTGGACATACGGACAGATTTTGTTCGTATCTCTGAAAGATCGTGAGTCGAATGTTCGTGAGTAGAGGAGTCCCTGTACTGCGCGACCTTTTGCCGGTAATTACAACAGCCAGCCTCATCAGGCGACATCCAGAGTTCTTTCAGTAAAGTCACGTAGAATGGAAATAATAAAATAATTAAAATAAAACATAATAAAATAATTCTCACGACGTTTCGGCCACAACGCAAGCAGCCGTCCTCAGGTGAAGAACAGGTCTGAAAAAAAAAGCAATTATCATATTTTTTACTGGCAAATGAGGTTTCAATGGTGTAAATGCTTACCCCGAGCTCTCATACTCTGATGGTGCATTGTCTTTGAGTTGTGCGCCTTTTGGCGTCATCTGATCCAACCCATGTGAGACTAGGCTCTAAGGAAAGCTGTCTCGGGTGTGGACCAATCAACTTCAAGGACAGTGCACATTATCAGAGTTTTGATTTTTATTTGCATTATGACTGCAGGTATTGTGGTCTATGTACACATGACTCCTTGTAAAAAAGGTGTCAGTTTTGTTGCCAGATAGAAGGGTAAAAAAACAATTTTGACATCCAGAGTTGTTTTGGTTGTTTGTTTTGTGTGCGTGAAGATTCACATGATGCTCGGGGCGATCAGAGACGTTAGGCTATCGCAAAGGGATCCGCCGACTCTCTGAGTTGGCCCATTGGCAAACAAATCTGTGCCTCTCCTCGATCAACTCAGCCTTAAATGGGTATCCTGCCTGGTGGCCGTGTGTGTATGGAGGGGGGGGGGGGTAGCGCGTTACGCTACGAACCCGATGACCCGAGTTCGATTCCCGCTCACGGCCAACATCAGTGGCGATCATCTGGCTACCTGTCCTTAGCTTCCCCTAGGTCACCTCAGCCTTAATTGAGTTACCTGCTTTCCAGTATGTTAGCAGCGGCCCTTGTAGAGACAAAGGCGGCCGTAGCGTGGTTCCTGGCCTTAATAGGTGTACCGTGTTGACCTTGATGGGTGCTCTCGAAAAGCACCTGCCCTGACAGTCTGCTAAGGCTATGCCGGTGGATTGTGTGTGTGTATGTTGAACGGACGTGTGTGTGTTTTCACATTTGTACCGATTCGATAATAACGGCTGTTGGAGGGGGCCCTTAATGAGATTGCGCGTCAGTCTGAAGCTCTAATTGGGGCCAGAATTGAGTTAATGACTTGGGGAAGATGGTTTTTTTTTTACACTCATTAATAATGCATCTCATTGATCTTAACGGAACCCCCACCTCCCCCACACACCCCCACCCCCACCACCGCTGCATCTGGCAACATGTGAGCTCAACAAAGGCTCCTAATGTGATAAACACGGAGAGTGATGTGGGAACAAAGCGCGTGTCGAGTCGTAATAACCCACACTCTGGCCTTTACACGAAGCACAAAGATCCACGCGGAAACAAAGGTTCCCCCAAAACAGGCATGTCCAAAGTCCGGCCCGCGGGCCAATCGCGGCCCACGGGCAGATTTCATACGGCCCGCAGGTTCGGTCTTATAATGTGTTAGTTATGGCTCGCCAGCTCTGTAAGAATGAATACATCATAAAACTCATGGAAATTTAAGGTATTCTATACAGTTTGTTCAATGTTATCTGACTGAATGAAAGGCAGAATTGCGTTTTTAGAGTTGTTCACGTCTGCCTGAGTGGCTTCTATTTTGTTACATTGTCATTTGAAAAATAAAGGTAATTGTGACAATGAAATCGTTTTATAACAGCGTGTATTTCCACGTAACTTTTGTGGTTAAAAAAATGTCAAAAGGAACTATTGGCCCCCGGGCATCTTCACTTTATCAAATGTGGCCCTCTTTGCAAAAAGTTTGGACACCCCTGCCCCAAAAAGCCTTAACATCCTCTTGTGGCAAGTGCTGTCAGT